AGAAGCAAATTTGTTGTGCTTCTAGAAATAAATGCTTACATTCATTTTCGGCGTTACTTCTAAGTCGATGAAGAATAAACACTACACTTCCTATTTGGTTAACTGCAGTAGAAAGATCTATCGTTTGAAGTATTTTACTTATTGATATAGTATAAGCTAATAATTTCTCTGAACAAAGCAATGAAATAATAAATGTAGATTGGCGAATACTATTTAAGAGTAAAAATGCACCAGATGATGAGTCCTTACAGTTCCACGATTGAATTTCTTTTAACGACGCCATTACATGTAATAAAAGTTGATTGAATACTATTATTGAATCGTGTTGTTCAACCCATCTTGTTGGACATAGCTGAACTAGTTTAGTTTTATTAATATTAGGAACTAATTTTTAAAACCGTTTTCGTAAAATGGCAAAGCACAATGCTTCAGTGCTATTAACTACGATTTATGAAGACATGCTAAAGAAATTACATCAATTATATAAGAACACGTTAAATAACTATATTAGCATCAAATGTGATGATTTAAAATTAAATTATTTGAAAAAATTAACCGATACTATTTCTATGTTGAAACCTTTAATGACTTGTATGACTAACGCAATAAAATATTTTGAAGTAAACTATAAAAATAGTGCACTCGATATTCTCAAAGAATCATTAACATTAATTAATTTTATATCTATAAACTCATACAAAACACTAAATGATGAATTTATAAATGACATAATTAATAAAATTAATATTATTGTTTATAAATATATTATTCATATAACTAAAACATATGAAGTTGTACTTAATGAATGTTTCGTGGAAAAATATATTGGAGAATTAGCAAATTTTTATAAAGTCGAGAATTGTTTTAAGCCTTATTGCTCAGAATTTGAAAAAAAAGTGGAAGAAGGAGTTGAATTGTTCTGCAAACAATTTGGATTTACCCAATAAGTGGTATAAAACATAATATCATTTTTTCTTTATTGTTTTTTTCTTACTTTGTGATTGAAAATAACAAATATCAATTATAATTGTATATAATACGTAATTTTTTTAATCTAACAAATTAAAATATTTCTAACCTAAACATATACTTATATTTTATCATTATAAGAACTTTCTTTTTATATATTATCACTAATTAGTTCGTATAAAATAAAAAAATTATGAAAATTATTTTATCTAATGAAATAAATCATAGTTACGTCTATTCTAAATATTGTTTAACTCTCAATTACAAATACTGTTTATTATTTATGAATTGTTATAACGACTAATATACACAAAATTTATGTTAAGATTTCTGTAACATTATATAAAAAAAAACTCAGCACAATGGGGTCGTAGCATAGTTATTACAAGTATAAGATGACATATGACATAGATTAACTTCACTGTTTAGTGAAGTTAAATATATTACAACATTTATTTTATGACACATAACTTTAGATTTATACTATTAATTTTTTAATGCATCCCTCATATCTTATAAGAGTTTAAATTTTATTTTTAATGAAAATATATGTTTTTAATTCGCTTGTAAAAATACCCTAGCACAGTAAGGGTACTACATAGTTAGGACGAGTATAGATATCTGCCAGTGATTAAAATCACTATCATAAAAAACGGATCTATGGAAATCACTAAATTGTGTTTAATTTTTAAAAGGAATTGTTGGATTATTCTATAAGCAATATCAACTCCTATTTCCATAATGATATATTGTATTTAAATTTATTATTTACATATTAATAATTTAATGTTGTAATTATTACGAAGAAATCATAAAAATTATAATGTAGTTGCATATTTGTTAACTCTATGACAAACCTGTTTTAAAATTGTAAGTAAAGATTTATAAAAAAATAAATGAAGCTCGATTATTCTGAAACGTAATTACTCATAATTCCAGTTATGTGTAGTATAATTATTAACACATGTACTAAATATCACATATATATATATAAAGCTAAAATCATCTAAGGAATGTTTCCTTTTTAGGCTAAAAAAAATAACCATTTTATTAACACCTGTTTCAAACCAGTCCCCTACAATTCATTAACTACGCCCACATCAGGGTTTCTATCACAATTAACCAATCACAAATAGTTATCCAACATCTCAGGAATTTTAATAGAGATCGCTGGCTTACTTCATCCGGCATATAAAAAGCCGTTTTTCTCGTAAAATCGGGAGCTATATCATCTCTCTCTCAACCCTCTCTGACGACGCTGACAGCTCATGGTCAATATCCTCTTACATGGAATCTGCGTCAGTATAAGTAAATTTTTTGTCCCTACGACTTAGTTTTTTTTTATATCATCCTAAATGGTGAACATTGTTTTAGATAATTTATCAATATTTTACCCACAAATAAATTTTATTTATTTTTACTGTTACCTAATATCCTTATAAGAAATAAATATACTTTTTATTTTATGTAAGTTTTAAATATTATTATGTCCTTCATTTCTGGACAGCCTTCAATGTGCCGAAAATAGTGAAGAAGTGTAATTTGTGATTAGAATTAATTAGACTTAGTAGTAATATCCTTTGCCTGTTTACTCGTCAGCCATAAGGGACTATGCCAATTACCTTCCGGTAACGTGCAGGCAGTTGAGGTACAGAGTAGTACTAAATTTATCAAGGGAATATTTTTGAAGTGAGCTATATCCGTCGACAAGCCAGTTCTAGAACTAGTAGTCCAGGTAAAGTTCATTATAAAATATATAGTTCGTAAGGTAGAAAACTATTTCTGGGAAATATCCTCTGCGTGTCTACCCGCCAGTCATAAAGGACTATGCCAAATTACATCTCGGTAACGTGTAGGCAGTTGGCGTAAAGGATCGTAAAAAGTGTATTGAAATAATATTTAATATACAGAGAGATTTTTTTATCATAACCCACTCAATTACTTACAGAATAATAATAATTAAAAATTTTTTTTTTATTACTATCTTTAGTTACACATTATTCTTGAATTATTAACTATGTAATACTATTTAAGTTCATCCCTTATGTCTGATAAGGGTGTCAACTTTGTTTTTTTAAATGGTAACACATATTTTTAATTTAATAAAATGTTTGAGTTTTTAATTCAATAATAAATGGCATTTGAATTTTTAATAAAACTTGATTTGTTTATTAGATATAAACATTTAAAGATTCAAATTTTTGAGTTAATATAAATTATAATACACTAGGGATTACAAATACAGGTAGCTAATTGGTTTTTTATGATATTGCTATCACAGTCCCAGATTGTTTATTATCAATTATGACTATTAATAGATATACTTTTTGTATTGTCAGTTAGTGTATTTATAAACTCACAATAATGTACCTTACTATCATTGATAATAACAATGCTGTGTACCTGCTAATTTCTTTGAAGTTGTTTTAAACAAAGTAACTCATAATTAAATTCTTTATTTATAATAAGTAAACAAATAATAAAATCTCCTTTCAGTATTGATGTTCGTAAATTACTTGCTTTTGATGATGTTTCATCAAAGTGATGAAACATGATAGTAAGGTACATTATTGTGAGTTTATAAATACACTAACTGACAATACAAAAAGTATATCTATTGATAGTCATAATTGATAATAAACAATCCGTGACTGTGATAGTAACATCATAAAAAATCAATTAGCTACCTGTATTTGTAATCCCTTGTGTATTATACCTATACAGGGTGTTCAGTAAGTCAGGAAACGGGTTTCTATTGTTCTCATTGTTTGTAACAATGAGAACAATAGAAACCCGTTTCCTGACTTACTGAACACCCTGTATATTAACTCAAAAATTTGAAACTTTAAATGTTTATATCTAATAAACAAATTAAATTTTATTAAAAATTCAAATGCCATTTACTATTGAATTAAAAACTCAAACATAAACATTTTATTAAATTAAAAATACGTGTTACCATTTAAAAAAACAAAGTTGACACCCTTACCAGGTATAAGGGATGAACTTAAAAAGTATTACACAGTTAATAATGTGTAACTAAAGATAGTAATAAAAAAAAAATGTTTAATTATTATTATTCTGTAAGTAATTGAGTGAGTTATGATAAAAAAATCACTCTGTATATTAACGAGGTTAACTATGTCCGCGCCAGCCAAGGCTTTACGTTGAGAAACGCTGGGCCACCACAGTCTTGTTAATTATATTTTGAATATAGATAGACATATTATTATAATTATATTTTGACAAGTTCAGAGTAAATTTTAAGAATATCGATACCGACTATAGGGAATTCATCGAAAATATTATTAGTAAAAACATAGTAAAATATAAAAAAATTTAAAGAAAATAAATAAAAAGGAACAAATTATAATAGACGCATTAAGTTCTACTTAATATACGAATATATTAAGTTTTAAACCTAATGTTATATCCTGATTAAAAGTTTTATTACATATATGTATAATACACGATGTAATATTTATTGCAGTAATTAAATTTAGTATGAAATTGTTATTCACTAATTTTATATTGTAATTTTTACAAAGAAATTATAAAAATTCATAAAGTAATTATGTATTTTATTACCTCTATGATAAATGTAAATCAAAATTAATTAATGAAATAATGAATTTATTAAAAAAACAAAAAGTATAGAAATCAAGTCAACTTTCTTAGTTCGATTAGAATAATGAATTGTTGGTTAGAATAATCAATAAGGTCAGAATGACCTTATTGATTTAATTATTATTTCAGTTATGAAAATGAAATTATAGTTTAGCATGAGTACTTGGTAGATAGAAATTTTTTCTTGGAAAGGGTAGTCCTTTCCTTTTAATATACATTTAATATTAGTTGACATTAATTTTTTCTGCGAAAATTCTCCCTAAAAATATTTATAACTAATATTTAAATATTTTTTTTATTAATTTTTTTTTTCTAAAAAAGTATTAAATGGGGTACTTATCCCTCCTCCAATTTGATCTATAATATAGGCTTTAATATTTGATAAAAAAATTGATTTAGAAAACTATAACAAAACGAAAAACTGATTATATTACACAATAATAACATTTTTTGTTTAAAATTGGGGACCGTTTACATATCAACTTAAAAAACAGGTTGTAACTAATTTTTTTATGATTTCTTGACCGAAATCGACACTTTTAATAAATCGAACAGATTAGTCCCTCATTTAAACTGAGTAAAATACATAAAACTAATATAATTTTTTAGAATTGTATATTAATAGTAAAAAAATAAAAAACATTAGAATAAAAAACTTAACAAAAATTATAACTACAACTCCCTTCGTTCTATTTTTATGGGACAACCATCGACAAAAGTTAATACACCTGATAGAGCTGTTCGTAGTTTATCTGGTGTGGGGCATTTATCTGAAGGGTACAAATGATAAGATCTTATAACTGTAGATATCACCGTTTTTGCTTGAAGCATTGCATATTTAATACCAGCACAGTTTTTGTAACCTCCACTAAAAGAAATAAACGAATATGGATGACGTTTGAGACATGCTTCGGGCAAAAAATTATCTGGATTAAATTTTTCTGGATTCGAATATAACGATGGATTTGAATGAATAGCTTTTGGTATAATACAAATTGTTGCACCTAGAACATTTTACATGATTATTATATTACATAAACCTATTTAAAGAATTTTTTAACTTAAAAAGAAACGAATTTTATTTAAAAAGTATACCTTTTGGAATTACATATTTTCCTATTGTTGTTTCTTTGGAAACTTCTCTTCCTATAAAAGGAACCGGAGGAAACAATCTTAAAGTTTCTTTAATTGTCATTTCTAAATAGTCCATTTTATGCAAATCTTCATATGTTGGTTGTCTATTCTTTTCACCGTCGGAAAATATTGTATCCAACTCTTCTACTAACTAAGTTAATCATACAATAAGATATTATGCAACAAAAAAATATGAATAATTATAACTATAAGATATTATTTTACTTTTTTTTGGACGTCCTGATGAGTAGCTATCATAAATAATACACATGTATTAGTAATAAATGATGTATCTTGACCAGCTATAAACAAAATAAATTTGTATGAATATGTGTATAGTACACACATATAAGTTATAGAGTGTACACTATTAAATCTATACCATTAAATTTAACATTTTAATTAAGGATTTAATTTTAAAAGCTAATATTTATTGTAGGCAAGACAGTTGAAACCATGTATCATAATGTAACAGAATTGAATCCCTATTCCAATGCAATAATCATAGCGCGTTTTTTGTGTTTAATTGCAAATAAATAACGATTTATGTATTGTAAAAATACTTTTAGGTTTATTTTTAATATAGTCTAAAAACTTTAAATTTTTAATGGAAGTAACTATTTCAAATATGATAAATTGGTGGTTTTTTTTATTTGTTTAACATTGCACTTTATTACATGTATTAAATATGAAATATTAATGAATACATGTTAAAGTAACATTTAATTCAATAATGCCAGATGAGGTACTGGTATTTGAATAAATATAGTTTAAAAAACTAAAAAAACACGCTTTTAAAGCACATCGAACTAAAAAGTTAAAAATAATTTTTAAAATAAGTTTAAAATAATTATGAAAAAAAATACTAGTATTATTGTGATAAAAGCGTNATTACCCCCACCATCGAGAGACCACGCCCACTGTGTGACACGCCCCTCCCCCCCGACCACGCCCACCCGTGGTGGGTGGGTAGGTGAAGGGGTGAGGCGGGGGGGCCTAGAATCCCCTAAATTACCCTACTTATAAATATATATACGTAAGGCGCATTAGACGCGGGCGGTATTGGTCAGTCAAAATAAAAATTTGTTTATATATATATAATATTGATGACAAGCACGCGTGTACGGGTACGATAACTAAAAATAAATTTTTATAGGAATAGTGTACCGTCGTATTGTGAGCGAGGCGTGGGGAGGGNTCGTGTGGTGAGCGAGGCGTGGGGAGGGGTGATTGCGTTATGACAGTCTAGTCTAGACGACGGAATATGCGATAACGGTGGCGTTTTGAGAGTTACATACATACATACATACATACATACAGGTGAAAATAATATAAGCGTGTTAAAAAGAGACACATTAAACTTTTATATTGTTGTAACTTTATAGTGCGTTAATACAAATTAAGTATAATAAAAATACAAATGACATAAATTATTAAATTATTGTCGTGTCGACAAAAATACATTTATGTCTTATCTAAATGTTACTGTAGTAACTCAAAAAAAGTTAAACATATAATTTTAAGGTAAAAATTATTCATAACTATATTGACCATTTAGCTGCTTTAACTAAGTCTAGCACTAAAAAAATAAAAATTAATACTAACCCATTATAGTACCCATAATATTATGACATATCTGTTTATAAGTCATTATGTTAGTATTTTCTAACATTACTTCGGCAAATGGTTTATTATTTTTGTTATCAGCGCTATCTAATATTTCAATCAAATCATTATCTTTTTTATTTTTTGCTTTCATCACTAGATTTTCAACGAAACTTTGTACAATGTACAAACTTTTGTCATGTCTCTTTTTCATTGAAGATAAGGAAAATAACGTTGAAGATCTAAACCATGGTTTAAAGATTCTATATGCCCAAACCTAGAATGTTAAGAACCAATATTAATAAATAAATAATTTTGAGCTTCCCTAAATGTTTAATAAAGTAATTGTAAATGTTGTTTTATAATCAAATTTAAAAGAACTATCTATTTTTAAATAATTATTCGATTTTTAATTATTTTAAACTTTAATTAAACAATTTAATAAATTATTTCAACATGAATCAAATTTTAGTAAAATAAGGAAAAGCTTTGGAGATTGCTTTATGTAAAGGTAAAAAAAATGATTTCTGTTACAGTTCTTAAAACTCAAAATTAAAAGAGTATGAATTAATAAGGTTTAATTTTACAAACAATTGTTGTAAATCTCTAAAGCATGTCCACTGGTTCAATGAAATTTTTATATTAATATCAAAACTTAAATTTGTATACCAAATAGAAAAAAGTTAAATAAAAATATTATTCACTAAAATGATTACCTCTTTAATAATGTCTATATTTTCAATAAATAAATGATGATTATTCTTTTGAGAGTTAAAATTTTCTCCCATAGTTGTTCTTCCGAAAGTATCCATTGTTGCATTACTGACAGGTTCACAGATATCACACTCATGTGTGTGACTATCTCGTTTTTGAAACATAACCTCGCCGAGGATCTTGGCCTCTTCATAAAAAATTGGAATGAATTGTTTCACATTCAAAATACTCATTCCTTTGACAATTGCTTTTCTAAAAAAAATATTTTTCAATATTAAACAAATGTTAATAAAAACATTTTGGTGTAACTATTTATAATTAATAAATTATTTCAGTTTTTTTGTGAATCTGAAAAGTATTAATCTATTATGTTGTGTTTTTATCTAATTATTGAATATAATTCAATTATTTTTTCCATCATTACGTAAATCTAATAAATAAAATTGTCCTACCTTGATATAAAAAAGCATTATAATTTTTGGACATTTTTTATAGTTTTACGTAATGTATTAAATTTTTATATTAAAATTTAAAAATATATTATTATTTTTTATTAAAATTCCATATTAAACAAAATAACATAAAACATTATAATAAAAATTGTAAACTATTTGAAGTGTTATATATATTTTTTAATGTGTTTGGTGGTTTTTTTAGAAATAATTGATCCCGCTCAGTTAAAAAATTATTTGTTTAAGCCCTCAGAAAAACGACCAGAAAATTGGTAATTTATATAATTCTATAATTCTTTTTTACTTCTGTTATTATGAAAAATTGTTTATATATTTTTTTCAGATATAACAGCAAATTACTAATAAATATATGGTAAATGGATTACCCTGTGTTTTGATCGCTATGAACAAATTAAACATTTTTAAAACATAAAAAGTTGATCAAATTAACATTAAAATATATCCTAGTTAATTAATTTATGTTAATTAAAAAAAGATATATTATGCTATAAAAGTATATAAAAAAAAGATAAAATTTAAAGTTAATTATGGTGGCGTTATTTTAAAAATATTTTTCTTAACTACTAAAATTGCAAGTTTTTTTTTCTAATTTTCAGTGACAATAAGTTCAACTAGATTAAAATCGAGATTTCTTGACGTATTGAACATTAAAAGGTCTAGTGTGAGCTGAGAATTTTTAGGGTCAGACATAAAAAACCCAGCACAGGGGGGTCGCGGCACAGTGGTGACGTGGCATAGTTGGATCAAGTATAATGATATCTGACAGTGATTAAAATCATTATAAAAAAAAACGCTTCGATGCAAATCTTTAGATAGTGTTTAATTTTAAAAAATTGGTGGATTATTCCAAAAGCTTCATAATCTGCTATTTCCTTATTAATATCCTGAATAAAAAAGGGATTATTAAAAAATATAAGAGTGTCAGTTTTTCTGGAACATTTTCAAAAGTTGAGTTGAAAAAGTTAATTTTTTGTGAAAAAGTTGTCATTTTAAATCCCCCCTTGTGGGCAGGTTAAGGGTTAAATTTATGAAAAAAATATTACAAATGATAGGTAAAGACATCAAGCATCTATAAAAAAAAAAAATTATATTGATATTGTTGAATGGAATAGATTATGTAATTAAAAGATTTAGAAATTATTTGTAATATAATAGTATTTAATATAAAATGTTAAAACATATAATATAAGAGATGTACAACGGCAACGGGTCACTTTACTCGATAGACGGTGAAACTACGACTAAAACTGTAAACATGTATACAATAGGCTGCATTGAGTAAAACAACATAATCGTAAAAGGAATGTGTCCCTTTGACCTTGTACTACACTAACATAAGTAAAACTACATTAAACTGTTATCTTAAATAATATTACTGTACTCAGTGTGTTGTTTAATAATATCAACAGATATGTTCATTTTTGAAAAAGTTACGGCAGTTTTTAGTAAAAAAAATTGAAAAAATTTCGAAAATTAGCGATTATTAAATTTGTAATTTTTTTGGAGGTTTCCCCCATTTACGGGGAACGAGGGAAATTTTTTCAATTTTTAAGGGTAATGTCTTCAACTAGATACGATTTGTGATCTTTTGAAGTATCGTTGAAAGAAATCCGTTCGGTGAGAGCTGAGAAAAAGTGGTAACAGACATAAAAAAAAAACACACACCATAGTAAAACCAATACCTTCTCAGCTTCGCATCGAAGCTAAAAACTACTTTTTATCGAACACATTTTCGATTTAAACATGCGATTTTTACATTTAAAATAATTAATGCATACCTGGATTTTTTCCATGCATCCATATCTGTTTCAGTAAATAATCCATTTCCAAATATGGAGTTTTTAAGTATATCATACTCTTTTGATTTTTTGAATATATTAGGATCATTCAGTGCTTGTTTTAATTCTTCGGGCTCTAGAACTCCAATGTATAATTGATTAAAAATCCACGATTTCATTATTTTATAATCATTTCTGTAAAATATAGTACTAATATAAATTTTATTATTTAAGAAACAAACATCTTAAATGAAAATAAATTAAAAAAAGGAATTATTGAGAAATACCTAATAATCAATTCCATGTATAATAAATTAATTTTTATATTGAATATTTTTAATTGCGATAAAAATAAAATGCAAAACAAATAAAAAGTATTTGTTTTAAGTTAAATATGTTTTAAAATAAAACAAATTTAGTTGGAATCCAGCATAGTGTAGTTGAGGAATTTTTTTAATTAGTATTGATTGATATCTGACAGTGATTAAAATAATTGTCATGAAATGCTTTAATACATATTTAAAAATAAATTATCATACATACAAGAATTATATGATTTTTGAGAATTTAAGAGACTGACCGATTACTTATAGTAAATGAGTCACCAGAATGCATTTTTCAAATCATATAACACACTAATCATTTTTTAATTTTTTATAATTTGGAATGATAGAAGTATTCCACACATCTATATCGTTTTATAGTACACAAGAAAAAATTTAATTTGATTTAGTGTTAATTTATGTTGATGTTCCGTTATTAAAAAAAACCCAGCACAGGGGGGTCGCGGCACAGTTGTGACGTGGTATAGTTGGATCAAGTATAATGATATCTGACAGTGATTAAAATCACTATCAAAAATAAACGCTTCGATGCAAATCTTTAGATAGTGTTTAATTTTAAAAAAATTGGTGTTTTATTCCAANATACCAAAAATTGTATGATTTTTTAGCTTTAATGACCAATAACTTCTATAAATAGAGATTTCGGATAGTTTTTTTTTTCATCTTTAAGTATTGTATTAGATTTAATTTGATAAAGGATTAAAGAAATCTGCTTCTTAGATCATTGCAAAAAATTGAAAATGGTTACATTACAGTATAGTCTAGATATCTAAGCTACAACTAGATACGTGTTGTCATCTTTTGACAGATCATTGAGTGAAATTTATTCAGTAGGAGTGGTGTAACCTTTTATAGTAGTATAAAAAAAGCTACTTATTAAACCTAAAAATTGTTTTCATCACCTGATTCCAAATACATACTCAACATAGGAAATATAATTAACTAATTGCCAAAAAATCATTACTTATAAAATTAACTTAAACAATATTGCTTACTTTGATAATTTTTTTTATTATTATATTTATATTTTATGAAAAAATATAAAACATTTGATTAAGTTTAATAAGATTTTTTCATTAAAAAAAAATAAACACATCTTAGTAAAACCAATACCTTCTCAGCTTCGCATCGAAGCTAAAACCCAGCACATGAGGGTCGCGGCACAGTGGTGACGTGGTATAGATGGATCAAGTATAATGATATCTGACAGTGATTAAAATTACTATAAGAAAAAAACGCTTCGATGCAAATCTTTAGATACTGTTTAATTTTNTCGATGCAAATCTTTAGATACTGTTTTATTTTAAAAAATTGGTGGACTATTCCAAAAGCTACATGATCTGCTAGTTCATTATTAATATCCTAATTAAGATAAAGTATGTAGAATGAAAAAGGGATTATTAAAAAATATTATTTCTCATAAAAAAATAATGTTGATCCATACACTTTTCAATATGTCATAGCATTATAAAGTTAAAAATGTAAAAAATAAAATCGAGAATTTTCACACAATAATAGCATTCGGTAGCCATTTTCATCGTGAAGATAAAATAAAGTTCGAAATTTTTTTTTCGCATAATAAAGTAAATTACATTATCTTTAATTTAAGATATATATAAAAGTGTCAGACTTTCCGGAACACTTTCAAAATTTAAGTTGAAAAAGTAAACTTTTTGTGAAAAAGTGGTCATTTTAAATCCCCCCCTGTGGGCATGTAAAGGGTTAGATATAAAAAAAATATATACCAAATGATAGGTAAAGACATCATGCATCTATAAAAAAAGAATTATATTGATCCATACATCTTTCAAAAAGTTATAGCATTATAAAGTTAAAAA